ACGTTTAAAAAAGTGAAAAATGAAAATATTTCAAACATGAAATAATTCTTGTGTGAAATAAAGCACAGTGGAAAGTATTATACAAAACATGATTCTGAATGGAAATGACGAAAGTAGCATAAAAACACATTGATTGTAACCCGGCTCAAAAAGGAGCCACTGACAGACTGTACAGCCAGTCAGTCACGCATCAGAGGGTTAAAGTCAAGAAATAATAAAAACTTTTATCAACTTCCTCCATTTTTCAACAACTCTTTGACACAGCATAGGTACCTCATAAAATATCAGGTGACCTGGATTCTCTAAGTCATATTTCTTCTTTATCCAGTTCCTTATTTGCTGCAATCACAAGAAAGCCAGAGATAATGCAGTGCAGTAAAAATAACAAATAAAATTAACTATGGCTGTTGCATATGTGATATTTTAAGATCTATGCATACAAACTTGTATTTATAGTATTTGTTATGTTTCATCTGTTTTTAAATGCTTTTATTTGACTTTTCTAATGTGTTGAATGATAATTTAATGTCATTAAGCTGACAATGAAAATTATGCTAAAGATAAAAAGCTGTTCACAAGCTGTATCAGCTCTAAAAATATTCATCACTATAAATTTGCTTGATGTCCTTTAATGGGTCTTGAACAAGTTGCACAGTGACTGAAGGAGGAGCAAAAGTTTGAGACTGAAAAGGAAACATAATGATTGACTTCATCATGGGGAAAAGAGCAGGAAGCACAGAGATCTGGTTCAGATCAGTGGAGCAGGACTGAACGCAGCAAAGACCTGATCATAGTGTAATATTGATTATTATCAATAACAACGATGAGACCTTTATTCCTCAGATATTCCTCTTGTACGCGGTTGATGTATGTCTTCCTAACTCTGCTCTGGGTGAGTGTTTCTTTTTTAAATATTTTTCTTTTCGTCCCTTCAGACAGGAGCTGATCAGAGGAGCTGTGCAGTGAAGAGCATTTTAACCAGTCGTGGTGGTTTGGTTACTTCTGGAGTCAGAACATTAACCAGCTTTAGCTTTTTCCAGTTATGAGTTTCCTGAATCAGAGCATTTAATGAACAGCTGTTATTAATGTGAGCTAATAGTAATTAATGCAGCTGCTTTTTATGCATTCAAACATTTAAAGCATGTTCACACATGGACATTGTACATTAATGTTGTACATTGTTGAAGATACAAACCACCAGAATAATGGTACACAGGAGATCACTGCAGCTGTTACTGTGTTCTAAATGCATGGCAGCCATCTTTGATTCTGAAGTTTGTAAATGTAAAGAAGACTCCATGGTTTTTCCTGTTTCTGCACTGATGTTGATGCATCTGTGCTTTCAAATCTCTTGACAACAAGGTGTTTTTAAATTGGTGCAGGTTATTCCAGTTTTAAACTATTTTAGGAGCGCTGGTCCAAGCAGTGTTGAAGACTCTGATGCAATGTTAGGAATACTTTGATGAAGAAAAACAAAAATGAGTCTTTGATATCTTGGAAATGATCTAATCTTTTCTGACAGGTAGTTCTGCTTTTTCTCATTTCTCCACATTAATCTGTGACAGAGAAATGTAACATTTCAATTATTTCCTGTAAGAAAGTAACTGAAATGTTACTTCCTTGCAGAGAAACATTTTGATTAATTCAAAAACAATTCAAAAACATTATATTATAATTTTACTACTGTAGTTGTTTTAGCTTGTTGAAAAGGGGCAGCCAGTTTATTCATTCTTGCCCATTTCTTCCTTATTCTTATGCAAGTTGTCAGTTAACAAGACCTGGTTAGGTAAATTATATAGGGATTAAAAGTCAACACTGGATTTATTACGGCTCTGAATCAGCAGCAAGCTGGGGTAAATTTGTTGCTTCAGTCAACACATGAGGTGGAAGAGCTGAGGTTTACCTGACAGCGGTGACGAGCCTCTGCTTGTTCATGTGATTTTAGGGGAATAATCAATGACAAAGATGGAGATTTTATCACTCAGATCCACATCATCCTGTAACTAATAATGTAAATTCAGAAATAAATAAATAAATACAAACATGATGTGTTGGTATGAGCAACCACCACAATCCCCAACGTTCCTGGTCTGGCGAGACAAAAGCTGGACTCTCTGGACAGAGTGTGTCTCATTACATCTGGTGATCATGCTGATGGTAAAACACGGTGGTGGTGGTGTGATGCTCTGGGGCTGCTTGGCTGCTTCAGGACCTGGAAGTCTTGCTGTGATCAATGGAGCCATGAATTCAGCTCTACACCAAAACACCAACAATTACTGTTTCATATCGCTTTGGATTTTTCTATTTCATTAATAATAAACGTCTTCATGTCAAAACTGCAATTTGTGTTTACTTGTGTTGTATTTGGTTAATATTTAAACTGGTTTGATGTTCAGAAACACTGAAGTGAGACAATCATGCAAATAACAGGAAGTCAGGAGGAGAGGCGGGGAAACAACTTTACGGACAACTATCTCTGGAAAAATGATTTATGTGTCTACTGGTCATAGTCAAATAGTTGTCCAGCATCTTTAATGTGTTTTTATTCATGGTTTCAGGTTGTAACAGTGAACTCCACAACATTAGAACCAATGAGAACATCTGAACCTACAACAGTAGAACCTACAAAACCTGGTTAGTATAGAATGTATTATTATTATTGATAATCTTTTATAAGTTACCTTTAGTTTTTCTCAAGTGTCTCCTTGTTTCAGCTCCTGGAAACGTAGCCAGTGTTTCAGTGGAGACCCAGACCACCAGCAGTTTAACTCTGAAGTGGGACAAAGTTGATGGCATCTCAACATACAGACTGGAATATGGTTCTGTCTCTAAGGACATCAATGATGCTGCTGGAGAAACATTTGTTCAACATGTGGTCTCTGGTCTGACTGATGGGACAGAATATAGTTTCTCTCTTTTCACTGAGTTGAATGGAGTCAGCAGCTCTGGATTCTCATTCTCTGCTGTTACAGGTTGGTGATCTGTGAATTTTCTTTCATTCCCAGTTGATCAGTCAGTGTATCAGGAGCATCGACTCCTTTTGTCCCCAATTAATATAAG